CAGCTTCAGCCCACTTCGTGAAGAAGTCGATCATGACCAGGATGTATCGGTTCCCCTCACGGGTCATCGGTAAAGGGCCCATGATATCAATCCCGACTCGTTGACCCGGGTGCATAGCAGTCATGGGTTCCAGGGGTGCCCTGGGTGCTTGAACTTGTTTTTTTTATCCTCGCACAGGTTTCGCATAGATTACACACAATAACGACATCCGTATGTAACCCGGGCCACCAATAGCGACGACGTAGAGTGGCTTCAGTCTTCAGCTGCCCTCCATGACCAATTTGGTGGTGGATACGTTGTACTAAGCCGGATGTTCTTGTCTTGGGTACGACCAACTTCGACTCTTCATTTTTTTGTATGTATAGAACCCCATTAACGAGTTCCATAGGCCCAACAGTGCCTTCTCTTCCTCGGAAGCATCTTTAATTTCGAGACCAGTCGGCTTTTGCCCCTCGCCTTTTAGTGAACTGTAGATGCGGGCAATATACGGGTCATTGGATTGATCATCACCTCATTCCGCCTCCTACGTTGTCAATAGGGCTACGTTTACCTTGTACGGAATCCGAGATAAAACGTCGGCGTTAGAGTGGCGCAATCCAGGTCGGTGCTCACAGGTGAATTCATATTCCTGCGGCTTTTCCTGCCACCTCGCAACCTGACCTTCGGGGATTTTGAAGTTCTTCAGCCACTGTAGTGAGTGGTGATCCGTCCTAACTACAAATGGCTTGCCCAGAATGCATGCTCGAAAGTAGTTGATAAAATATACCAGGGATAGCAGTTCTTTCCTGGTAGTGTTATACTTGCGCTCTGACGAATCCAGCGCGCGACTTGCGTGAGCGATGACAACTTGGCCCCCTGGAGACTCTTGGGATAAAACTACTCCAGTGGCGTTCTCGCTAGCATCTGTGTCCAGTACAAAAGTGCGCCCATTGCGGAAGACATCAGGAAGTCCTAGTATAGGAGGGGAGGTCAACCTGACCTTTAATTGTGCAAAAGCACGATCACACTCTGCCGACCAAACAAAAGTACAACCCTTAGTGGTCAGTCGATGCAAAGGGGCTGTAATTGAGGCGAAATCTTTAATGAATCTTGGGTAGTAGGAAGCTAGCCCCAAGAAGGCTCTCAACTGTTCTGTCGAGGTAGGACGAGGCCAAGCATTGATACGGTCACACTTAGTGGGGTCCGTTTTGATTCCATCCGGAGTGATTATGTGACCCAAGAATTTGACCTCACGACAAAGGAAGTGGCATTTTGAGGACTTCAGCCGTAATCCTGCTCTTCTCAACCTCTGAAACACTTCTTCCAGTCTTTCGTTGTGCTCCTCTATGGACCTACCATGGACTATGGTATCATCCAAATAGATGAGGCACCTTTCGGGTACTAAGCCCTTCAAAACCGTGTTCATTAACCGTTGGAAGCTTGCCGGTACATTAGCCAGACCAAAAGGCATAGTTTCGAACTCGTACAAACCGGAAAGTATGATAAATGCGGTTTTCTTGGTATCGGATGGTTTAATCTCCACCTGCCAGTAGCCGCTTGCTAAGTCCAGCGTTGAGAACCACTTGGCACCAAACAAAGCATCAAACGTGGCGTCANTGCGCGGGAGAGGGAACGAATCTTTCCGGGTCACTTCATTTAACTTACGGTAGTCGACACACAGCCTTAAGCTACCATCAGTCTTCTTTACCAACATGATAGGGGACGAACAGGGTGAGGTTGATGGTCGGATGACTTTCTTCCGTAACATATCCTGAATCATTTGGTCCAGCTGTGACACAGTGAACTGGTAAGCGCCGTGCACGCTGTCGAATGGGTTTACTGGTTCCGGTATCAATTTCGTGCTGAATCACATCAGTACGGCTGGAAACGCTTGTTGATGTATCAAGCGTCCGCATACATTCTCTGAAGCTCTTCTACACTCTTATGAACAAGGCCAACTTGTTTTGTACTGTTTTGCACCTGGACTCCCGAGCACTCAGGGTATGTTATGCTGTAACATTTCTGTTCTGGGACTCCACCTGGTATCCGGAACTTCAGGGAGGTATTCGAGATTGTAATCGTGTCACAATATTTCCGCAAAAAGTCCATCCCCAGGATGGCTCCCCATCGGAGACCATGACACACCAAGAAGGGGTGGGTGACTTCCAACCTTGATAGACTCACTTTCAGCTGTGCTCTACCCTTGATGAGCACTTTGGAACCGTTGACAGCAGTGACGATCGATTGTCTCGCATCGGCAGTACGGGTGGGCTTGACTAAGTACTCGCTGACCAAGGAGCATGAAGCTCCAGTATCAATCAAGAAGGATACTGGGGTGCCTTCTAACCGACCTTTTAGGGAAAATGGGGTTGCATTCGATTCTGACTCAGTAGCAACAGAAACAATTTTGCAATCAAAGGCTAGGGACCTACCTTTCTGATCACGTGGGTACGTTGGAGGGTTGTGCCCGCAGTGTTGGGCCCGTCGACCGAACCGTGCACAATAGGGGCACCACGACCGGGAACTAGTACTCTCGATTGGATGAGACGTGTTGGGTTCCGCTGGGTTTCTTTGTACCGCCGCGCAAGTCGCCGACTCCTCTTGTTGCTTCGTTCGCGACATTTGCTCTCTTCTGCGAGCCTTCTCCAGGGCTTCACGTAGATTGACGGCGGGTTTGTACATAAATTTAATCCGCAGCTGGTCGTCTGAAAGCCCCATACAAAATCGCTCACAACAAACAGCTTCTCTTTCGGAGATCGAGTAATTCGGGTAAGCTTTGGCCGTAAGTTTGAGTAAGGTCCAGTAGAACTCATCCACAGTCTCGCCCTCGTGTTGTTTTCGTCGTAACAACCGTTCCCTCCAGACGGCAGGGGGCTCTGAATGCGCAAAGAGTCGGCGCAGGAGACTGTAAATGTCCGATGCAGGCGTTCTAGCGTTTATCCCGGCGCTCCTCACAATTTTTGCGGCGTCCTCGCTCAAGAAGCTCAACAAATAGGGTCCGTGCTTTTCCGGGTCTATGTTTGTAAGGTAGAGCGAGACCTGAAACTCCCAGCTATCGTAGTCATCACTCGGGCGAAACATTGCAGGTTGTCGTGGGAATGGCTGTGGGTTTCCCGAGAAAAATTCT